TGTCCCCTTTAACCCACCTCAGGATAATAATATTTGCTACGCGATGTTCTGAACGAGATAATTGAATTACAATAGGGTTGCCGAAAATCAAAACACCACTACCATGCCCCACTAGGTCAGTGGTTTGCACTAAATCGTATGTGCAACTAATTTGAGAAAAAAAATGATTTTTAACAAAAAGGGTAAGCGCCACCAATTTTTGTTGGCTAGTTAAAACCGGAAAATATTTAACTTCTCATAGAAGTAATAATTCTATTTGCAATGACTATGCCCTTATGAAAATGAATAAACTATCCGATTATCAAAAGTATAAATAATATGTTTGATTTATGACAAAACAAAATCGTACCGTAATATATTATCTAACGAGGCTTTGGCTAAATCTTGGTGGCACTCTAGTACTAGCCCTGAGGTAACACTTTGTCTGTTGAAGGCTGATAGGGCTTGTCTACTATCAGTGCAGATTGTGAATTTGGTGCCCAAAGATCCTTTCCTGGATATTTTTTGTGGCGATTGAGATACAGTTCTGTTTGAACCACGCTGGTATTTTTCTCATTCCCCACTCAATCTTAAGGCTTATTGATCTAGAACCTTTAGTGATATTACTTCGTGAATTTCAAAAACGTAAAAATTGTATTGTTAATATTTTCTCTATCGGTCGAAGTAGATTTATTCTATTTCATGAAATCATGACATCTACTGGTTACTGCCCCAATCTATGAATTGATGTTCAATACAGATTTTGGCTATATTTGATGGATGGATTGACTGCATGCCTATTGTAATCAAATTATTGAAATGAGGAAACACGTATGTTCAGGAACTATAAAATTCAGAATACTATTTTCTGAACAACTCCTCTTAAAAACATGACACTTGGAAGCTCTCGAAAAAATCATTGTTTTCCTTTTCTACGTCATTGAACGCGGTAACAAATTGTTATTTCTGTTTATCTCCATCATTATGAAGTTTGGAACAGTTGGCGAGAAAACAGGAAATTTAAAAAAGTTAACGATGGAAATTTCGACTTGTTTCTTGAAATTCGCCCAAGTTTTTCATTAATATGCATTCGTTCGTGGACTTTGTCACAACTCCAAAATAAATTATTCAACATCTTTTTATTAAGAGGGTTGTAGAAAAAACAAGAAAGTTTTCTCAATTGCGTGTATTCAAAATTGAATTAGTTGAATTATTTATGTTAGTGATAGATTTGTTCTAAGTTTTGAGTTACGTTAGGTGATTGATGTTTGATGATCATATGAGAATGACGGTTGTCATAGCCATATATAACTTATTCATAGGTGGAATCTCAATACCCCTAGATGGTAAAAAAAATAATAGTCGTGGATATATGAAGAAAAAACAAATAACAGGACTGGAGATAGTGAAGCATATTTTAAAATCATCTGGTGTAAAATGCTGTGAAATGGAATGAAACAAAAATTGTCACTAAGGAAATTTATGAGAAAATAAGAATTTCCATATATTGTTCCAGCTACCAGCAGATTATAAATGTAATTCAGATAGCTCTGTGGAAATAGATCATACCTTGTTTTTGTTGCTAAGGCGAGAAGTTGAAAACGGAAATATGAACCTTAACTGGATTTGTAGTATATATATGAAAAAAATCCTAACCTCACAAGAAAGGTCAAAAATATAGTTGTTAGAATACAAAATGAGAACTTGAAACCGAGTTAAATAAGGAAACAGGTACTGAAAAAGCACAGTTTTCCTAGCTGTCAAATCTAATCCGTTTGAGAAGTTATACAAAATTGTAAATATGAACTAAGTAGATGTCTCCAAATCAGTCTCCCAATTGAAAACTCGATTAAATCCAAGACTAAGAAAATGCAGATGTCCTGGGGGACCTGAGGAAAGGTTGTATAAGACCGTTACAGCTCTAGTGAAACATGGAAGAATCGAACCTAACTATCCTAGAGCTAACGAATCAAGGATGTATGCTGAGAGATTAATTTCTGATGCAATTCGTTATGGAGACTGTCATAGAGCAACCATGGAAATGGCAGACTACTGGTTAGTGGAAAAACAACTGGTACATAAATTATTCAAAGTTCTCGTACCACGATATGAAAATTACAATGTAGCCTTCACTAGATTGTTAAGAGCACCTGAACCGTATCCTAGTGATAAACACCTGGAGGCAGTTTTAGAGTTACGTGGAAACCCTTACCCTTTGCTGTTGCCCGATACTTATAAAAATCGAAATTTACTACACAACGTTTTATTAGTTGAGGCAAAAAGGGCTTATAGAGCCGAAAAGTACAAAGAAATTGTTAGTAAAATTGATGCAAATATAAAAAAGAATGAAGATATTGAAGCCGACCTGAAGTCACCAAAAAGGAATCAGGAATCATGTCTGAAAAATGTATCAAGCCATATACATATGGACTATAAAACAAATGTTTCTAAATGAAATCTTGAGGTATTCATCTCTCCCAATTACCTACACTTTGGGTTCTGGTGGCTGTCTGGCGGGAGGCAGCTACTTTCCTGGCTAATTATGATCCGGAACAAGGTAAAGGCTTACGATTTTTTGTCAACTCACCTTGTATACATAATAAATTATGCTTTTATTTCGAACAACAAAACCGTAGCATAAACCCCAATAATATATCCAGTCGATATCTAAACAGGTTAGTGAAGGCAACAAAGGCAAAGAAAAAACACAGCCGTTCGTGGTTATTCAATTACTCTCACCGCCAACATCTTTTGATATATGCGATGTCACAAGAAGCACGGAAAACTTATCCAATTCTCTAAGCGGCAGGTAAATCGACCTTTTCGTTGTCCTTTGATCTCGAAGTGTACGACTCGAAGAACATTTAATATTTGCTAAAGGTTTGTAGATGCCACATAAATATTTGTATTGACGTATGTGTAGCACGCTGGTTCCAAGTGAATATACAGGGTGACTTTAAACCGAGGAGCACATTTTGAAGACGGTATTAGTTGAATGAAAGTTGAATGAAAACTTTTTGTTACATGAACTACTGGTGTGAATTTTATTGAAATGATAGACAGATGACCTATAAAATAGTAAAAGATTATAGTATGTTCATGTTGATCAAATTCATCTGAATTGGACTGTAGTTGAAATGATTACATGCAAAAATGCCAACAGTAAAAGAATGAAATTGAAAAAAAACTATAATGGTAGAAATCCATCATAGCAAGTTCAAAGCAATTTAAAGCATTTCAACTAGGATCACTTTCAATTGATGTATGGAGAAAAGAGACAGCTCATAGTCGTCAGACAAATCTTCTCTAGCTAAACATGAAGCCTCCACCTCATTAGATATTTTGGTTTTGATATGTACAATATATTGGGTTTCACCAGATAAGGCAACCTTCCATCGCCTAGGTTTCAGATACTGGTCATCAGAATGATAAAGTGAGATGTGAATCTAAAATTTGAACCTGGTAAGAGCTGTACGCCCCAGACGTGCCCTGATTTTACGTATCACCATTACCAGTACGGAGCAATATGGAGAAAACGTTCGGTATTGTGAAAAAACACGATAATACACCTGCTCACTCATTATTGCTTTTTCGTAATTTGCATGTTAAAAACAACACTGTACTCAGCCACCGTATTCATTAGATTTGCCCCCCGCGACTATTTTCTGTTTCCAAAATTGAAAATACCCGTTAAATGACGGCGTTTTGCACATGGGTATCAAATGAAATGATTTTCTGAAAATACGAAAACTGACATGACGTTTTTCTTGATCCAATATGACGGATCGCCTAAGACAACGAACAACGAAATATCGATATCAAATTGGACGGCTTACTGAATGAAATAGAAAAATAACATGACTTCAATTCGAAACTAATATGGCGGACCTCTCAATATGGTGGATCTATGGACTCCTATGATATGGTAATGAAATTAAAGGGTTGAATGAAAATTATAAATGGATAAAACATATGACAGGACTGTGATAGGTGAATTCATTAATTAACACACGACGTTCATCAACGATGAAATTTATCAACATCAAAACACTATGACTAACAAAACACAAAATATAAAAGCGCCACGTGGCTTTGACGAAGCGAACAGTTTCACTTGCACAAGAAAGAGATGTTACTACCCAACTAGCAATTTTATATTTCATAATGGTTGCGAAAACGTTTTGGAGAAACAAATTATAAAATTGTATTTCTCCCAGAAATGTTTTCAATGTGTTTATAAAACAGTTTTAAATAGGAAATTTGCACCGTTTCATAAAACATTAGTCTTTTATAATATTTTGCAACGACTTTTGCAACACTACAAATCAGTTTTATAACCAATTTATAAAACACTTTTAAATAGGAAATTTGCACCGTTTCATAAAACATTAGTCTTTTATAATATTTTGCAACGACTTTTGCAACACTACAAATCAGTTTTATAACCATTTCGGAAGTTATTATAAAATTTTTCTAACACTCTTGAAAAGTAGTTTCGTGAAGAATCTTATAAAATAAGTGAAATACAATTCTATGAATGTTTTTCAGTAATTCCAAGTGAGCGTTATAAAATATAATTCAGGCACAAGAAGTAATTTTGTATTGGAAACTAGGAAAATATAAGAGATATGTAACCAACTGAAAATTAACAAATAGAAAGGTTGTGGCCATTTTAATAATTTTACCTTTATACGTATACAACCGGTAAAGACATTTTTTTCGCTTCAAAGATTGATATTTTAACTGCAAATGAAATTTTACTGACGAATATATAGCCTATTATTAGTAAAATTTAATCGTGCCTCACTTTTATTAAAATTTTTGGAAAACGTTATTGATTATACAAACATTCTATATGTTCGACGTATTCAGTTTTCAGTTGGAATTTAACTCGGTTTGTTCTAAATAATATAATCTTATAATATCTATGTACTTTTCATCTGCAAATATTACTATATGTGCAGTATTTCATATTTTCAACTCATCAGTATTCAATGTCAGTATTCCGAATTGCTATCAATTTAAAATGGAGTCGTCCTCTAAAATAATTTGGTATCAATAGCATGAGTTTACATGTATTTCAGCTTCTATGTTACCCCTATAAAACTGTTAAGAAATACTTAATTCTAGGAGTGATGGTAAAGCTATATATTTCTATAAAAATGAAGACTCGATTTCTCACGTATTGTTTAGATGAATATTATCTGTCGGAATGTTCTGGTTAAGAAGCTTCTTCCATCGATTATAAAGGCTGAATTTCGAAGTAGTTTTGAGTTAGTAATTGGAGTGTATATAAACATGGTGCTCCATCGACGGATTTTAATCATAAATAATCCTGTTTTTAGCAAGAATAAATTTTTAGTACTAGATTACGTGGGTTTTCGTCTAAACCGAACCACTTTCCTCAATTTTTTTCCAATGACCAATATTACACGACGTTATTGGATATATAATTATTATTGGGACGCTAGTCAAATTAAACTTGACGAATTAAACTTTATACACAACCTCCAAAATCAATGTCAGCTGGTTCTTCTTAAGTGATACATTTTTCTCTTGGCAACAGCAAATATATATTAGCGGAGGCAATTTGATTTCATAACAGTTATTTTATTGTTTTGGAACTGCAGTAAATATACCATACTATGAAATAGTTGGGAAAGTATCATCAAAGTGGCGATATGGTAATGAAAACAAAATTGTGTTTGAAAACATGCCAATAAAATAATTTTATTAAAGCTACAGGAAGCAGTTATAAATAATCTTGATATACTTATGTCAAAATTATGATAAACTTACAAAACACTTTTATTGCCTACAACTGTATTATATTCACGGCTCGTCTAATATATAAACAATTAGCATTTTGAAAGTGATTATAAAATTCCAACAAAATGAAACTGTTGCAGCACCATGAAATCATGAAACAATTTTGCTGGTTGGGTAGTTTGAAGACTTGACCCAAAAGAGAGCTATTTTCCTAAGATTTCTTCCCACGTGGCGGAAACAGAAATTCAGTCCAGCCAACACAAATTTCGAGTATTCGATCACTCGATTATCGAGTGTTCGATTACAGTGTTCGATTTGGATGACTGCTTGACAATAGAGAAATGAAATGTTTTTATACTAAGTAGTAGTAGGAAAAGTCCCTACAGTACCCTATTGCCAGTGATGAACGATATAACATTGAAAGTGGATATAATATATGAAAAAATATTCGTATAAACTAAAGTATTGAGAAAAAATACTAAGTGTGAGCTATTTGAGCTACTAAAAGTTAAATAAATTTTGCAACAATGAAACTGAGACTGAAATTGAAATTGTATTTTCCAAATAAATGGATTTTTGCAAAGATACAGTTTATGGAGTGTTGAAGATAAATCGCAAGTTTTAAATAGAAATCGGATTNTGGATACTGGAACGTTTCTGCCTCGCATTGCAAGAGTGAAGTGTTTCTCGGCTCGGGAAACAACTTCGTAGGGTCCATCGTAGGGCAGCTGAAGCGGTCCTCCTGAAGCGTCGTGCCTGACTAAGACGTGGCTGGCGGTAGCGAGGTCTTTGAAGACAAAGAGCTTTCGCTCGACATGCCTGGTGCCGCTGACTGGCCTGAGCGCCTGGAAGTGCTGGCGAAGCTCACGTGTGAAGTCGGCCGAGTCGTCTATGTCCCCGGTAGAGGTTGTTAATAGGAACTCGTCAGGAAGTCGGAGTGGTTCTCTGTACATCATTTCTGCAGAGGTGGCCTGAAGATCTTCCTTCCAAGCTGCACGAATCCCCTGGAGAGCGGTCGGGAGCGTGTGTGTCCACCGATCGAATTGCAGACACTTGATTAAGGCTTTCAGCTGTCGATGGAGCCGCTCGACCATGCCGTTGGCTGCAGAATGGTATGATGTATGAGTTTGTTGAGTGCCTCAACAAACTCATACATCATACCATTCTACATCATATCATTGTTGAGTGCCTCAACAAACTCATGGGTACCGCTCATGGGACTCGAATTGTCTACCTTGGTATGTGGTCAGGCGGAGTCGAACGCCGTAACGTGCGACCCAGGTGGAGTAGAATGGTCTGACAATGGTCTTGGCTTCCTGGTCCTGGAGAGGCGTTGCTTCTGGCCATCGTGAAAAGCGATCGACGCAGGTAAGACAATACCTACATCCATCGGAGTACGGTATGATGACGAGGTCGATATGGACGTGCTCGAACCTTCTAGAATGTGCTGAGAAGTTGCCAATGGGTGTTGATACGTGTCGTGAAATCTTGGAGTGCTGGACCTGAATACGGGTGCGGGCTCAAGCGCGATTATCTCTGTTGATGGAGAGCCAGACATAGCGCTGTCTGACGAGCTTGGTCGCTCGAGCACCAGGATGCGACAGCCCGTGGTTGGCATCGAAAGCTGGTCTGTGAAAGGCGGCTGTCAGGAGTGGCCGTGCCGTCGTCGTGGAGACGTCGCAGAAGATGGCAGTGTTGGATCCAGGGATGGTCACTTGGCGCAGGATCAGGCTAGAGTCATTTCTCTGACGGAGTTCCTGGAGCTGATGGTTCTGTTGCTGAGACGCTGCGAGGGCTTCGAAGTCGAGTGGCATTGTGATGGCATCGACTCGGGAGAGAGCATCCGCGACAACATTATCCTCACCAGAGATGTGCTGGTAAACTGCCTGGCGCGTTTCCCATGTTCGTAGCGCTCGCGACGAATAAACATGGTTGCTGGCACTTATATGCGTCTTTACAGAACCGGTGGTGGTACCAGCACCAACCATTAAGGAGCTGGCCAATCGCGAACGCGTGCAATTTCGCGAGCGTGAGCGGTCACGCGATTGTTGATGGCCGCGTGCCTGTCTCAATTCGGCCTGGAGCGCATTGATCTCGCGGTGCTGTTCGACAAGTTGTGCTCATAACCGCGATAATTCCTCACACAAGCGTTATTCGGTAGCACTCGACACTGCTGAGACGTGTCTTTGTTAGGGCACGACAGCTTCCATTGCATCCATGATGCAATCGGCGGTCATCGCCAGGTCGTCGAGGCTGATTCCTGGTTGTGCTGCTTGCACTGCGAGGCTGGCGCCGACGAGTGGATTAATACGGTCCATCCACATGGTCCTGATGATGTCGTCGGCTGCTGAGGGTCCTGCGACCGTCTGTAGGTGCCGCAGAAATTGTGATGGCGTCCTATCGCCGATGTCTTCGCGTATCAGGAGTTGACGCGTCTTCTGTGCCTGTGACATTCCCAGGCGTCGAAACAGCGTGTCCTCAAGCTGTTCGTATGACATATCCGCTGGCAAGTCGGGAATTAGGTTAGCTAGCCTCTCGGGTGTTGAACGACTTTGCGAGCTGGCGGAACATTTCGGTGCTGGTTTTGACGCCAACGTCTTCAAGAATTCACTCGACCTGCTGAAACCATACTTCCGGATCATCGGAAGTACGCAGGTAATCTGAGATGCGCAGATATCGCACTCGCGGGTCGGGACTACAGTTTGGCATTGTAGCGATTAATTACTAGGTGTACTTGCTCAGACGAGTTCGATTACACTATTCGATGACTGCTTGACAATAGAGATATGAAATGTTTTTATACCAAGTATTTGTAGGAAAAGACCCTACACATAATATTACACAAATTTCGATTATTCGACTACCCGATTCTCGAGTGTTCGATTACACTATTCGATGACTGCTTGACAATGGAGATATGAAATGTTTTTATACCAAGTATTTGTAGGAAAAGACCCTACACATAATATTACGTCACTTTGGATTAAATATGGCGAACCACCCAAGATGACAGACTAGTTATTTTTCATGCAACCATCTGTGGATGAATAAGTAAATATCAACTTCTGGTATGTAAAATATGCCCTTGCCGTACGAGTCATTTTTTTTGAAAGATCGGTTTTACGTAATATGCGAAAAATTTACAATTCTCAGACCTCTTCACCTTTCTAAGTCCGCCAACATCTTTTAGCATTTGTAAATGGAGCCGAGTAAGACTTGTGGTGTTGTCAGATCAGTTTTATTCCATCGACTACTTGGTTTATTATGGAATTTAGGGACGTTCAATTTAGTGGAAGGAAAATGTTATGATGGAAACTTCATTGAATAAATATTTGATTCAGTAGTACTGATTATATACAATAATCAGCATTTGCTCAAAAATGCCATTAAGCCATTTTTGATTAATGATTGGCCTTACTGAAAAATATTGCTATAAAATAAGAGGTTCACATTTGTATTCACAGGTATATTCCGAATCATTTTAACCTGCATTACAAAAATTGTTGCATCCAAAGTAACTGTATCGTAAATCTAATTCAAATATTGGTGGAAATATATCTAAAATGACAGAAATATCAATATTTTTACTAGCCCTGATTCAGCATGATAGCCCAAGTATTCCCTAATGGTGATAGACCCGGCTCCACACGGGTGTAATGTTAATACTAAATATACATATGGACGCGTGTGATAGCTGCTAATCATAAAGTGCTTCAGGGCGAAGCGGAGCCTACAACGCGCTATTTACAGGAACGCGACACTGGTTAGTTTTGACGTGGAAAGCCTCTACACTCACGTTCCTGTCGAAAAATCACTTCAAATCATGCAGAGAAAGCTACCCGAAAATGTGAACCAGCCAATGGGATCGCCACTTTTACCAGTTATAGCCACCATATTCATTCATATCACAGTTAAAGCCAACATATATATTATTATGGAGTGGTTTGAAACTGTAGCCATTGAAGAAGCTCAAGCTGGTGGAGATATGTTGACGACACCTTCATAATATGGAACCATGGGAATGCAGAACTAGACGCCTTCCTGAAGCACATCAACAACGTAAGTCCTTTCGTCACTTTCACAATGAAGAAGGATGTTCAAAAAGAATTGCCATTCATAGACGTATTGGTGAAGAGGGCCGACACTGGGAAACATCTTCATATCGCATCAGAAATCCAACCACCATCAATCAACCAAGAGAGGACTCATCAAGACTCTTGTAGACTGTGCTTTCGAGCTTTGTAATACAAAGGAAGATCTCGAAAAGGAACTATAGGCATCACGTAGCAGCCGCACGAAAACCAGGTCACCAAACGCGGACTGCGATTCCAAGAATTGCATTGCAGAGCACAAGAAACACACACAGCGAGGAGTAACTAGTGAATCAGGAATAGCAGAGCATGTTTGGACCCATCAACATAACATCAAGTGGTCTCAAGCTGGAATCATCCACAAGGAGGGACACTGGTTCACGAAACGCGTATAGCCAAGCAAGCGTAGAGATACGTAACATATGGAAACCTCTAATCAAGCGGAAAACGATCAACTCCCGCCAAACGGACATCTCCCGCTAAAACCAATGAAGCAGTGAGAGGGAAGAGGGGATAGGTGAAAGTACTCGAATGTCCTTCAAATAGTCAGATCTCGAAGAAATAAGTCCGGTTATTACCCATAGACGATAGTGAATACTAACAATCGAAACGTCGTCAAGTAACTTGACTTGAAATCTTTAATTTTTTTCAGTTTCCATTTCTTGTTAATCATTTTCAAATGTCAACTCGTGTTAATAGATCAATTGTTTGATTGTTGCTTGCATTTTTTTCATTGTAGCTTCAGTTTTTTTGGCTGATATAATTGTTATTTTTCAGTTATTCTTTTTAATTTCTCATCATTTTTTTCAGGAATTTCAAATTATATCATATTAGAAAATGGTAGTCCAAACTAATGAAATGAAAGTAGGAAAAGTTCTGGCTTTCTACTACTCCGTCTTGGTACGAAAAACGTGAGAATCTTCTGAAGAAAGGAAGAAAGCAATAAATTGAAAAGGTTCAATATTGAATTACGCATGATATAAAAATACTTTCGAAACAAATACTTTTATATGAACGCTGAATTTTACGAAAAACACATTTCTTTATTTCGTTTTTATTCCAAATATTTCGTTTGTATTCCAAATATTCGTTCGGAACACAAACGGAATTTTTAATTAATGGTTTTACAACTGAATATCCTGGATGAGTTCTCATACCAACCATACCAATATTCAATTCAAATCGATTCAGTTCAACAGACGAAATTTATTCTATTTTTGCTGGGTTTTAAAGATATACATTTATTACTTCCGTCCAACAATCATGATGCTATTATGGTCTTTCATTCTTCTTGAATTTTTCCTTCTTTTGTACTACATGATAGTAGAAAAAAAATGTATTGGGCCATTTTGTATATCACTGAACTACTTAACCTAGAAATAACACGTCTGATAATATTCATGAATCATTTCCAAAACAATACCTAACTTTTATCTGCACAGCACTGCGGTATTTTCTGGAAAATTTCAAATGTACATCACACCTCATGTTGTGATTAGATATTAATGAGACTTTTTCCAGTGTTGTTTGTTTGACCTCATTTATTCACCTCATTTCAAACCAAAATGCATCGTGCATCAATCCCACTTCAGTATTCTCTCGTATATCTCATTTTCACATGAAAATAATGAAAATGAATATGTGCAACGTCAAATGTACTCCTCGAAATGGAGATATATTTCGATTCAACCCGAAATCAAGATAAATGAAGGCAGTAGCTGCGAACTAACTCAACATTACCAATAGGACGGTTCTAGACGAGCAGAACATCCCTGAAATCACCAGAAAACGAGGTTCAACCGAAAAAATGCTGCTGGAAAAAATATTGTTTTTTCTTCACCTCTATTCGAGTTTTGTTTTAATTCAATTCAGTTCAATTTCCAAAATTTTTCAATTGTTGCTGTCGTGTGATTGCTAATAACATATTGTATCCAAATTAGGCTCACGGAGTGAAAAATGAACAAATAAATTGATGGATGTAGCCCTCACTATGTGGTAGAAGA